CTCTCCCCCACCACCACCACCACCACCAACTCGACAACAACAATGTCCTCCTCACCAGTGCTCTCCCTTCTCCTTCTTCTTCTCCTTGTCACCACCACCATCACCACCGCTGAAGCAGCCAAGGCCAAGACAGTCCGAGCACCACCACCACCATCATCGGCCACCTCTCGTCAAGCTGCCCCCACTTCCACCACCGGCATCAACAACAACAATGTCAACACCTCGCTGGCCCTAGCCAATCCCGGCCACTCCGGCCCGACCGCCAGCGAGATCCTCCTGCCGGCTATGCGCACCCTGGTGGGCGGCCCACTCCGTCTACTCCGGCAGCTGGCCGCCGAGCTGGTCGCCTTCCTGCGGGCCCACCGCCCCCTGCCCCTGCAGCTGTACGACCACCGCTTCTGGGGCTCGGTGGCCACCGCTCTGCCCGCCCGCGCCTCCGCCTACTGGTCCGCCCTGGTCAGCATGGAGTCGACCTGCGCCCGCCGAACTGTCTGCGACCTTGCCGAGCTGGCCAGCCGCCGCCTGCCCAAGTGGGCCCAGCAGGCGGTGCTCTTCTACCTGAACGCCTTCGCCGAGACGAACGAGTACTACGGCGTGGCCATCGCCGGCTTGACTCTGAAGAACTGCCGCGCCAGCTTCGAGGACTGCGACGTGGACCGCTTCTTCGCCCGCCTCCAGGGGAACGTCACCGAGGCGATCAAGGCCACCGTCGGCCCGGTGGGCGCCGCCTTTGCCGACTTGGTCGAGGTGGCCAGCACCACGATGCGCTCCATTGTCACCGGCGAAGAGCGGGAGGACCTCCGACGGCCTCAGCCCCAGCCCCAGCAGGACTCTCTCCGGGCCCCAGCCCCAGCCTCGAGGACCTTTGAAGAGGAGGAGGAGGAGGATGAAGAGCCGGTGATGATGGGTGGTAGTGGCCGACGTNAGGAGGATGAAGAGCCGGTGATGATGGGTGGTAATGGCCGTCGTCCTCCGCTTCCCATGATGGCCTCCTCCTCCTCCTCCTCCTCTGGCGGGGTGATGAACCGCCTGCCGGTCGCTCAGCCCTCTCACCACTTTCCCCGCCACTGATCGGGTGATCACCCCATCACCACCACCACCACCACCCCCACCACCTTCACCCTTACCTTTACCTTGTTAACTTATCCATACACCCTTTACTAACTTATTCTCTCCCCTCCCCTCCCCACTCTTGTCACCACTTTCTCCCCACTCTCTCTCTCTCTCTCCTTTATTTATTTCTTGTGACAACTTTATTTATTTATTCACCTCTTAGCAGAACATTTTCAAAACAATAAATGAGCTTTACGATTTTAAACTTTTTTGCATTGAATCCTCAGTTCTTGAATCCTCAATCACCTGAATACTCAATTCTTAAATCCCAGATACCTAAATCCTCCCTCACCAGATACCGCACCAGTACCAGGAAAAAACAGTATCAGCACAGCCTGCTGCTCATCTGTCCTGTCCTGTCCTGCAAAGTCCCCAACCAGATCCGACTGTGTGCGCCAGCGCACCTCCATCACCCCATCCACCAGCTCTGTGAGTGCTGGCCTGTGTCAGCTGCTGGCCAGCGTTTTTGGCGGAGGGCGCCACCGCCCGCCCCACCGTCGTCTCACTTTCTTGCTCGCTAGCTCGCTCAGTCTGCTCGTGTGTTGTCATTGTACGACAGCAGTCTCGTTTTCCTCTCTCTCTGTTTTCCAGCTGTACAATTGACGCCTACCTCTCACACACAGTCACCTCAAAATTAGCATCACCACCAACAGCTCAATCGTCCACCACCACCAAGAGTTATCTTTCCGTTTTCTTATTTTTCCACTTTTCCTTGAACTTTACCTCTTCTTCTCCCCACCACCAAAACCACAATGTCCACCGCCGCCGAAGCCGCCGCCGTCGACCTGAAGCCCATCTACGGGCCCTTTTTCGGCGTCCTCGGCTGCTCCTTCGCCATGATCTTCAGCTCGCTGGGGGCCGCCTACGGCACGGCCAAGTCGGGCGCCGGCATTAGCAGTATGGCCGTCATGCGCCCAGAGTTGATCATGAAGTCGATCATTCCCGTGGTCATGGCGGGCATCATCGCCATCTACGGCCTGGTAGTCTCGGCGCTGATCGCCAACCAAATCGGCCCCGGAGGCGTCGAGGGCACCTACTCGCTCTTCAAGTCGGCGCTTCACCTCGGGGCCGGCCTCTCCGTGGGCCTCTCCGGCCTGGCGGCCGGCTACGCCATCGGCCTGGTCGGTGACGCCGGCGTCCGCGGCACCGCCCAGCAGCCGCGCCTCTTCGTCGGCATGATCCTCATTCTCATCTTTGCCGAGGTCCTCGGTCTGTACGGGTTGATCGTGGCGCTCGTCCTCACCACCAAGTCGGGTTAAGACCAGCCTCTTCTCTTCTCTTCTCTGGAAGTCCACCGAAAGGTTACCGTTGTTATTATCATGAAAGCTTCACAAACACACACAGACACACTTCTCACACCAGTTTACTTTGAACAACACAAACAACACACAGCTATCTATTCCAGATCAAAGAATTCCACAATTAATTATCACTACTTCTGTATCCAGCCTCTGTGTGTTGATGGCAGCTCTAGCTTCCTCCTCCTCTTCAAGTACGCATCCAAGCTTGTTTTAGTCATCTCCTGATCATCATCATTCTCGTCGCCATTACCACTATTTATAATCAAGCGTGATTAACCACCACCACCAATTTCAATTCTTTCTCCCTCAACGCTGTACATACTTCTTCTTCTGAAATGAAACAATAATAAAAGGCAGAATGCAGAGTTTGTCGTACAGTAGTAATACACTGTCTTGAGAGATTTAGTTTGGCAAAAGCAAAGCAATGGTTTGACTAGAATTCGAAAACAAAATAGAACACCACCAACTCAAAACTCGCGCACACCTTGCCGCATCTGCGCGCAGTACTCCTTCAGACTGTCCAGCGCCTCCTCGAAGAAGCCATCCGCAGTGATCGGCTTCAACTCCTCGGCGACGGTCCGCTGCCAGGCGGCCACCGCCCGGTACACCGAGCTGTCCAGCTCCGAGGTGAAAGCGGCCAGAATGCGCAGGTAGAAGTAGGCGGACAGGTCGGCGAGGCTGAGCCGGGGCCCGGGGGCGATGAAGGGCCGGTTGTTGGTGGCGAGGAGGGCGTCCAGCCACTGCAGGGCCTTCTCCAGCGAGGGCTTGCGGCTGCGGTCAATCTCGCCGCTCTTCCAGAAGGGATCCTAAAGGAAAGAGATTTAGAAATAGAAATAGAAATGGAAAAGGTAAACAAAACACTCGCTCGCTCGCTCAGGTCCTTACAATGACGTCGGAGAGGCCGCGGTAGAGCGTGCCCAGCTCAAAGTGCAGGTACTGGTCAATTTCGGCGCGTTGTTTTAGGTCACCACTTGGGTAGAGCGCCGAATCGGGCGGCCCCCGCGACTGCACCAGGTACATGGCGATGGCCCGAGACTCGAACAGCCGGAAGCCGTCGGTGTCGACGAAGGTGGGCACCCGGTTGAAGGGGTTGATCTGGTGGTGGTGGTGGTGGTGGTGGTGGTGGTGGTGGTAGTGGTGAAAGAATGATTGGTCAAATGTTTTCTAGTACAAAAGTCTCCGCTTCTTTACCTTGGCGTACTGCTTCGACTGGTAGGTCTCCGCCACGTCAATCAGCTCCAGGTCGATGGCGAGCAGGCGGGCGACGGCAATTACCGTGTGACAGGGCGGCGACTCCTTGATGTAGTACAGCCTCGGCTTGCCGGACATCTTGATCTTCACTAAAGATGGGAAAAGAATGAAAAAGAACCTATTGTCAGTCTCAAAGTCAAGTGGAGGGAATGTCAAGGGCAAAAGCAGCAGCAGCAGCAGCAGCAGCAAATTGCAAAATTCCGTCGCTTACCGTTGCTCTCCATCGCCGATCATCAATTTAGTGAAATATTTGCATCCTCCTGCTATATTGCACTCTCTTTCTCTCTATTTTAGTATTCCCCATTGACAGAGTACTTCTGCTGCTGTTGAATTGAGAGTGCGTAAAAAAGCTCCCAAGCAAAAGAGCTGAAGCAATCGCATGTGGAACAGACACAGCTGTGCAGCAGTGAAGTGCCGGGCTGTTTGTTTGTTGTGATATTGTTGTGATTGTTGTCCTCGAATTCAAATTGTTTTGAGTTGACGTGATCATCAAGAGAGGCATTCTAATCTGCTGCAAACAAAAGAGAAAGGAGGAGGAGGCATGAAGGACTCCTCATCGCTGACCACCACCACCACATCGTCGCTGAAGAACATTCGCTTTGTCCGCTACGGCGACCTGGTCCTCCTCAATGAGTCCTCACTGGCGAAGTTGGGCCTTGATGCGAGCACCCTGTCTCAGGTAAGATGATTAGTGATTTTGAAAGTTGTAAATAACTTCAATTTTAATACTCACAGGACGACGAAGCCCTGCGGCGACTGAAGGCGACCTTCCGCTGCTCGAGGCTGGCCCTGAAGCGGCACATCAACGACGACGACTTTCGCAGTCCCAATGTGGTGATACTGAGAGGCAAAGAAGAGGACGACAGCGAACCGATTGACCCGTGGGTCGTTCAGGTGGACAACGGCATCAGGTACTGCTTCAACATTGAGAAGTCCATGTTCTGCAAAGGTACCTCCTTTGTTTTGTTTTGAAACTCCTCACTGTTTCTAAAACTCACCTTTTGCAGGGAACATCAAGGAGAAGCTGCGCCTCTCCAAGTTGGACTGCTCGCAGGAGGTAGTGGTCGACCTCTTCGCCGGCATCGGCTACTTCGCACTGGTCTTCGCCGTCCACTGCCGCGCCCGCCAGGTCTTCGCCTGCGAATGGAACCCGACAGCGGTGGAGGCACTTCGCCGCAATGCCCTCCTCAATCGGGTTGAAGAAAGGGTGGTGATCCTCGAGGGCGACAACCGCCTGGTCTGTCCGGTGGGCGTCGCCAGTCGCGTGAACATGGGCCTCATTCCCAGCAGCTTGGCCAGTCTGGAGACGGCCTGCCGAGCGCTGGACGTGCTCACCTTCAGCCGTCTCACGCTGCACGTTCATGAGAACCTGACGTATGAACTGATGAAGAGGCCAAAAGAAGAGGAGGAAGATAAGAAGTCAAAAAGAGAGTCCACCGAGCTGGCCAGAAGACGCTGGGCGCAGGGAATCGTCGAGCAGGTTCGAGACACCTTCTCCAAGGTCCATCCAGGCCTATCATCGACAGTCGAGGCTCAGGAGGTGGTCTGCATCAAGTCCTACGCGCCGCACATCGACCACATGGTCGCCGATGTGGTCATTCAATTGTAGTAAAAGAAGTTTCATTCGGTGATCATTCCAAATTAAAAAACCGGTCCCCAATTTTTCTTTGTACCGCACTCTCGACAGCCGATTTCTCCATTTTTTTAGATCGGCTTTGTACGTAAGCTGCCACTCTGCTCACAGTGTGCAGGCGTAGGTGCCGGACACTAGGCGCCTTACGCCACCGACCGACCCAAAGCTGTTGGCGCCGTCAGTTTTGCAGCAGCAGCAGCAGCGCAGCGCTTGGCTGGCGCACGTCATTTGCGTGCACAAATTGTAAGCACTTCTTTGCAGAACACACACACATTTGTCACAGCGAGTGTTTTGATTCGCATCAGCAGCTCGCAGTGCTGGCAAGTGTCGTGTCTTTCTTTTGATTGCACTCACTTTTAGAAGAAGAAGAAGAAGAAGAAGGCTCGCCGGAGACATTACATTACACGCACCTTGTTCTCCTCCGTCCAAAGGTGCACTTTGGGTGCTTTCACGCCCCCACCCTCACCTCCAAATCCCCCCATCAAATCCCCCAAAAGAGCACCAGAAGAATGACTGAGCATCACAGTTTCAACAAGAAAAGAGGCGGTGGCGGCGATCAAGTGCTCGACACGAGCTCCACTCAAATGGTGCACAAAAAACTTTCTGCTTCTAAAACTTAATCTCTTGCTAATGCTATCTCTTTGCTCTTTCGCTTTCAGGACTTGAACGACTCTCTCAATGGTGATCCATCAAGTGGTGCCGGGCCTTCGCCACCCTCGGACACTGACATTGACTGGGCGGCCAAGCCCAGCACCACCAACTCCTCCTCAGAGCAGAGCAGCGGCGAGGGCGAGGGCGACGGCGGCTCCAATGATAATAATGCTAGGGAGAGCAAGAAGCAGGCGAAGAAGCTGCACTACAAGTCGGCGCCCTTCCTCGACCTGGAGAACCACGACGCCCTGCGGGCCTTCATCCTCGACCACCACGACCCCTGGAAGGC